GTGTTTCAGCACCAATAAAACGTTCCGCTCTCTGAAATTCAAAACTTCATCAAACCAAAAGCATAATAATGAAAAGAAACATGATTCGAGATGAAGAAGCAAAACCGAAAGATCCTCTGGTGATAACGCAGCTTTCGCATTAGCCATGTAATTGTAGTAACAATTCATTGAGCAGAACGCTAACGTTTCATCTTTTGGCTGAAATAAACCCAATTTTGATCAAATAGTTCCTAAATATTGATAAAAATATAGTAATTTTTAGGAATCGACAAAGATGAAAAAGAAAAAAAAACAAATGCAGGAAACCTCATGATCAATAATTCCAAGTTGGCGTGCTGTCTGTCTTACAGCAGGTTGATCAGTCAAGGCACCACAATGACGACATGTAAAGTCATCAGCGACTGGTAATTCCATTTTTTGGATTTCACCAAGATCACCTGAAAAAAAATCATTTACGTCGCTGAAAGAGTTCTCCATTTGAATCACAGTTTTCATTATAATCCGAAAGACAACCATTTTTCACTTATTGTGAAATTTCCACTACTTGAAATACTATTCAATTCAATTCTATTTTTGCCAGTTCATTTACCCCCGTCTTTTTAATTATAACAAAAATATTAAAGTCGTTTTTGCATATAGAGGAGGTCAGAATCACATTAAAAAAGACTACAGATTTGTCTGAAAGAAATAACTTCGACAACAGACGTTTTGAAGGTTCAGGAGTTTGAGGAGGAGTATCAAATTCATAATCTGGCAACTGTTCCATACCAAGGAGCACCATTAATTGTCTCAAACCAGCTTCAGCATCAAGACTGCTTTCTGGACCTTCGAATACAATACTGACCTCTACTTTTTTTGGCGACTCACGTTTCTGAAATATATTCAAACAATTAACATTATTTTCGATAGAAATACTTTTTAAAATTTCATTTCCATATAGTAGCTTACTACCAGTGAATTCATCTAAAAACTGAATAAATTGATGCAAATGTCTGACATTAAAAATCATGCCGGTTCAAACAACCAGTCTGCAAAATTGTCTCTAATTATTTTCGCTACATCGATTCCAAACAGTCTTCCCCTACTTATATTTCTCGACCATAGTAAGGATCTAAACAGATATTTTTTTCATAAATGAAAACCTTTATACATTTTGAGAAAGATATTCCACGATCTTAACTAATAAACGAATGGACAAAGCTTCACAAACCTTGAAAAATGCATGCCTTGGTGGTGCCTCCGGCACTACTGATTCAGGTATCCTCGAAATCTGTCGTAAAGGAGGAGAGTCCGAACGACGAACTACCGAAAGCGCTCGCATTTTACTTACAGGTTTTTCTCTTTCTTGCATTCCTCTTGGAGCCACGCATCTTGTTCTGGAAGTGCACACTGATTTATCATTAAGTGATGGAATCAACTCTAAAACATAATGAAAGAGGAAATCAAACCTGTATAAAATTGGTAGCTTTATATCAGCCGTAAAATCAGACATTGTGTGGTAAAGTGAAGTCTCATCGAAAGGACACTGAAAGAGACGGGTATAATAATCACCCATAAAAGCAAGTCGTACATTACCAATTTCGTTCCCTTTAATTGATGGTTTATCTGAAAAATAATGAGGGAATTGAGAACAAACTTATTGGAAATCAGTGAGCACAATCTTGAATAAACATCGATAAGTCGAGTAAGACTAATCAATCTACAAATCATGCACAACAAAACTGCCAAGACTGGTCAGCTTGTCGTTAAATAACGTCCAATTACAACTTCTTACGAAGGCTAAAAAAATTGGAAAAATGTTATAATAATTCAGCTGATTAAATTACAAATGTCATTTTCTCATTTTTTGAGCTATATCAAATTGAATGAATTTGAGAGATAAAATTTTTTATTATTTTTTAAAGCAACAGAGATGTTTTGTAGATTTAAACAAACCTATTCGATCTGGCAAATCGGTAACACCGAACATGGCATAAGATGAGCGACCAATGCGGGATATAGGTTCAATGGCACTTCGAGGAAGTTGGGGGCAAAGACGCAGTTGAGTGGAAATCCGTTCCAGCAATAATTCATACTCGTTACTATTTCCAACACCAAGTTTCTTCTGCTGAGAACGCTTCTTTTTTGGCTTTGGAGGGACTGAAAAGGAAAAACTGATAGATTTGCAATGGAAATTTATACGCTCAAAGACCTAATTAAAGATTTTAACATAAATTAATAGTGGGCCCTTTAACAGTGGTTCCTTTGAACCAGTGTTCGACCAACTCTGAAATCTTTAGGGAAACCTACTGTTGAACTCCAGTCCGGAAAAAGAATTTCTCTGCGATGGGTATTCTTTTTTCATCTGTGATTCTAGAAGTCTTTTCAGCATTCCGCTTTTTCGAGCAGCTTCAGCACCTGAAACAAATCAGAAAAAAATATTGTTTCAGAATGGAATGGAGCGAGATTATTCAAAACAAAATGCTGCGAGATTAGTTGATGTTCTTTCCAAGGAAAAAGAAGAAATGCATCATTATTTTAAATTTTCGAGAAAGCATATACCATCGACCATAATAACAGCTTGCATTATTAAGCGATCTACAACATCATAAATATCTCGTTCAAACTGCGTGTTAAGAGTATCAGCGGTAACATCACCAAGCGTTGCTGGTCTTTTACATTCTTCATTTCGATCATCGTCACGTCTTTTCCTCTTTCCCCTTCCGCCCCGATATTGCCATTCCGTTGAACTCGATGATCCCGGTCGACCGTTAGATGGTGTTGGAGAATCTTCAAAAATATCAAATACATTTAATATTGACTGCGAGTACTTCTTACCCTCATCTTTTTTACCAACAAAAGATTTTTCAAATTATTTCAGTACAAAAGACAAAAGAAAGAAAGAAAAAACCAATATTTCACAAGTCAAATGATACATCTCAAGTTAATTTAAAGCTTTCTAGAAGAAATACCAAAACAAACTCGGCAAAATCACTGCTCTCGAACAAAGCTTCTGAAAGAAGCAAGAAAATAAGAAGCTATACCCGAACATATTTGCGCAGTTTCAGTCTCACTTTTTGGAGTTGTACCATAGGCAGAATGATTATATTCAGACATCTGGTTCGCGCTAGATTGATAAGAAGGTCGACAGTTACCCATCACACCAAACGCTGGATATGATGGCGGAGGTCGAATACCGTTGTTTGGAGACATCATATCATCAGGCGTCGGAGGTGTACCACTTTGCGATTGTTTTGCGCGCGCAGCACTTACATGTAGGCCAACAGGTTGTACAACAGGTGTCATTTGAGGAATAAGCTCTGGTGGTATGTTATTTTTGACTTCAAAATCACGAACATTCGAAGAATGGAGTTTAATGTCGCGCTTACAGTTTTCCAAATCTTTTTGCCTGATCGGTATGGTATTGGCAAGTGTTGTAAGTGAGTGTCTACAAAAAAGTTGAGAATCAGACCAGAAACAACTTTAAATGAACGAAATACGGGATGATAATTGTTTTTATAAACTGACGCTAAACAGATGGCATCACAAATTTATATCCACCGCATTGCATCGAGCTTATATCCAATTAGTACCGGAGAAACACCACCTTGATGGTGAAGTGATATAAGTTCGCTTTTTATCCTATTCCAACCAAAACCGATAATGAAATGGACGCATAACAAAAGCAATAAGCTTACCTGTCAGTTTCGCTCAACTCAATTTCGATGCGTTGTCCATGAGCGTCATACTGCTGATTGTTTTTATTCAGTTGTCTTCTTTTCGCAGTGAGATTTTTCTTCTGTTTCCGCATCCGAGCTAAATCACTTTCAATTGCCTGAAATCGTGCTTTGCAAGTCAGACAACATACTTTTCTATCTTAAAAATATGCACCTTTCAAATAGAAAATTCACGATACTTTGAGAATCAATCGAGCAGGAATATTTTGCAGTGGCGAAGACGTTAAACGCGGAACAGAAGACATGTGTTTAATGCAGTGACATAGCTGCATAACGTACGAAAAAAAAAAAGAAAAAAGAAAAAAATAAAGGAAACATTGACACCAACGGTAGACATACCAATTGATATTTTGCTAACTCATTGCTTCGTTTCTGCAGCAAACTGTAATTATCTAGAATTTCTTTGCTCAAATGCGCAACTAAAGACTGCGGATTTCTAGCCGGTGCAGGTCTAGGCTGAGATGCACTAACGAATGAACCACCTTCCTGGAAGATGAACAGTCTTAAGATAAGAACTAAGGACATAGAACGATAAGTCACAAACAACACTTCAGAACGACAATATCCTGCCATAACATAAAACTCTTAAGATGTAAACGATGCAATAGTAATAACATCGAAGACAGCTGGCTATGGTTGGCATCCATCTACATTCACTATTATCCTTACAATGACTTGCTTAATTATAAAATTATAAAGAGTTAATAGTTTCAAGAGTTTCACAACATTATAAAGAGTTAAGTTTCAAAACAAAAGAAACGTAACGTTGCAAACTCTAATCTAAAATGACTGTTTTCCCAAAATAAAAATTTTCTTCTTATTGAAAGTTAAAAAATCAAGGACTGGAAGTACCTGTTCGGAATGATAATAATGTTGCTGTGCTGCTCCGTAAGGATGAACCATGGAGACTTCTATGGAACCTGCAGACGTATTTTGACTCATCACACATTCGCCACCACCATAAGGCATTGTTGGAACTTTGAAACGTTCATTATATTCTGCCTAAATATAAACAAAAAGTCCATTTTTTTCGAACATAAAGTTTATGAAGCGTGCAAATCCTACAAATCATGATGTAGAACGATAATTCAATAAACAGTACTTCAGAACGACAACATCCTGCTATATTCTCTTGTCCTGGGAGCATTCCATATCGATTTGGACCAACGATAGCTCGAACAACACCGGTAGGAGCTGCCGTTGACGTTGTAATACGTTTTGCCCGCGGCTGCTGCAATGAATTTTAACAGTTAAACAGAGATCAGACTTATAAAACGTGTAAATCCTACAAATCGTTACAACCCATCCAAAGCAAAAAATATTCTCACCTTAACTCTATTTGCTCGATTTTCTCTTGCCTTATTTACATACTGTTGCCTACTGCTGGCATCCAAAGATCTCCACATTCGATGAATGTGTTTCACACGTTCTGGCCATTCTGGATACTGTTCTTTCCACTGCGGGTAATTAATATTCGCATAAAGAACAGCAGCTTTCGTAGCACGCTCTCCCAATGGTTCATCTTCTTCCCACTTTTCTGTTGCTTGATTCACTCGTTCGGTACAAGTATCACCCAGCTTAAAATATTGTTGAATTTTGTAAGCTACACAAATTATTTCGAACATTACAACTATCAGAAAAAAAATTTTGAAAAAATACCTGACTGTTAGATCTGGGTTGAGTGTAGATGCCGGTTTGACTGTAACCAGGCACATGTACATTTGGACGAATACTTCCCTGAGTTAGATTACTTGTTGAAGCAATCGTAAATCTTCGAGCCTAAACAAGAATAATGACGGGATGGTTCTAGAATATAATCTCAAAGTAACAACAAAGTCTGATATCATCTTCATTTCAAAACAGTCTGATAATTAACTGCTTAATCTTTCTTGTAGAAAATGGATAAGTAATACCTGCTGTCCCGAACACAAAGTCTGAGATCGCACAGGACCACCATGAGGATTAACAGTTATTTGACCATCTTCACTGCATGGTCCCATTTTATCTGAAATATACATTATAAAATTAGATAAACCTGAAGCAACTTAAATGCAGAATAGTATTGCAAATTTTTGCTGAAACAGTCGATTTTTAACTTCCTAGTACTCTTCCTGATTCTCCTGTCGTTAGTTTTATGCCCCTAAAAGAGCAGATGCTTGGCCGAATATTGCATGTCAAAGAAAAATCAAAATTTGCATTTGGTTAATAAAAATTAGATATTATAGTTTTAAATAATACCACTTAATGCATTTTCCAATGTTTCATCATCGTCATCATCTTCATCACCATCCAGTAACAGTTCATTTAAATCCAAATTATCAAAATCAATTTCTTCCATATTGCCAAGAATGTCATTCTCCGTTATATTTCCCAAAAGACTTTCACTTTCACGCAAGGCCTAAGTTTGAATGCAATGAACTTCTAAAGGCAAACATTTGAAGAATAGAAAATTTTGCTCCTTGACATCCATTGATTAAATTTAAAATATTACGATGTTCCGGCAAGAATGAGCAGAAGCAGTTTAGAAAAAGATATCTACAGTACATCTTAAAACATTAATGACCTCAGAATCCATTTCGTTCAATTCACAGGATTCTTTTTGCTTATCGATAATCAAAGTCGCTTTCTGATGCTCCACTAAATTCGGTTCATCTACTACAACATCTAACAAACACCTCCCCTCAACTGGTCTCATACCAAAAAAACTTTCCTGAAAATAAAGTTCACACCCTTATTAGCATTTTGTTTTCTCGAGCTTTTTTATTGCTTCTTCATGAAGAATGTGAGATTCTACATAATTTGAATCGAAAGAAAATGAATGTAGAATGTAGAACCTAAATGTAGAGTACAATGTTCCATATAATTACCCAAATCAAAATATATCATGTATTGTTCGGCTCACCTGAATAACTGGTGGATAATTGTCCTCCAGTTGCGATCTCCTTGGTTTTCGGAAGCGTTTTATTTTTGGTTTTACAGAATCCTCTTCTATACCATTCTCGTCTTCCGCATTCAATAAACGATGTCGAGGTACCTGCTCCAATAATATTAGCATAAGTTGAAAATAAACTGAAGAAGCAAAGATAAAAATAGGTAATTATGCAGAACAGAAATACCTTTACAAAAAATCCACCAACACCCAATTTCATTACTCGCCGACCAGGACCACCGCTTCGCATTCCTCGACCGCGACCACTCATTCCTATACTCATTCCAAAGCCAGAACTTTCTACATCGTCTTCTTCAATTGGTTCTGAAAGTTTCATAAAATAAACTTGGTTACCACGAAAGCCATTTGAACAGTCCACTAGTTTAATGAAACAGATCCAGGGTGATATACCCACTTACAAAAATTCCACAAACGATTTATTGAAGCCTTCAACGATTCTGTTAAGCTGCCATTAGCCATTAACATTTATGCATTACATGATAATCAGACAACTGATGATTAGAACCTCTTTACTTTGTTAAAATCTAGCACTGTTTTTAATAGATTATTTCAAATGTTAAACAATAATTGGGCAACTGTCATCGCAAGTATTGGAAAGTTCAATTTGGAAAATTCTAATAATATGAAAAAATGACTAAATTTGAAAGATCTCAACCTTCAAACGAATGAGATCTCGGCGCAAAGAAGTACGATGGGAAATCGTAGACAGAATCAGCAGAACTGGGATAGCGAAAGAGTGCTCCACCACAGCGTAAATGTAATACTTCGAGTGCGCATTTGTTCATTGTCACATTGTCGCACACCAAAACGTTGAAAGCGTCACCAACAACATTACCTTGTGGGCGACACAGCGAGCAACGGAAACCATTTTCTGATGCAGTTTCAAACATCTCATCACCGTATAACTCTTCACATTTGCCATGTAACCACCTAAATATAGCTTATCACATCCGTTAACTTGGATATGACCAATTTGGACATAACTTTGACTAAATCTCTTACATAGGCAACAGATAACAGTACAGTCATTGAAAGGTGAACTCAACTACATGACTAAATCTTTTAGTTGGGCAACTGATTACAATACAATCGGTGATAGGTGAATTCACTTACTCGTATGATCAAAAATATTTCTATCATTCGATAAACAAGGAAATATCTTTTTATTCAGAAAAAGATAAAAGAAAAAACTTTCACTTTTAATGTATGCAGTTTGTACAACTAAATGCAAAATATTGCTCACGTACCTTGCACAGTGTTGACATTTAATGATGCTATCACCAATTTCATAAAATCGTAAACATTTAGGACATCTCCGAAGCGTAAAGCAAGTTTCACAAAAATGCTGATTATCCGCAATGTTGGATATTTGGTTACTACAACGCCGACAAGCTGAACACCTGAAAAAAATTTGATAGGAGATTACACTTTTTTTTTTTGCCGTTAGTAGGAGATTACATTTATCGGCAAATCACACTTTTGTGAAAAAATTTCAGAAGCTAGAGGAAAAATTCGCAAATATACCATTTACACCTCCATGGGCCATGTGGAATTCGCTCAAGAGGTGGTTCCAAACAATAGATATGGTATGAAATGTCACATTCATCACAAAGAATCAAGTTGGATTCGTCATGCCCATCGCCGCATCCTTCGCAAACCGTGCAATCCAAACAACGCCATCCTCTTTTTATTAGTGTGGAGTTGAGCTTAAAAAAAGTTGAATTCCATGTTAAAAAAAAAAAAGAAATGAACAATGTTAAATTCATTTCTTTAAGAGATATTCAGACTAAACAGTCCGTCTATCCTGTGACAAGAATGACATCATGAAAATTACTGCACGGACAAATAAAGACCATCTCAAGCCAAGTTATTATTACATATCAAGTTTAGTCTATCTGTTTCATTCCGCCACTGAATGCAGAACAAATTTGAACTGTAAAAACATAAGAGAGCAAAATCTGATATGCAGGATTAAGTCGGACAGACAGACCTTATCATGTAGTCCGACACAATATGTGTGATAACTTTGTGAGCAGGTCACGCATGTAACCATTGTCCCTTCAACATCTTTTCCAATACTACCACAAATTAAACATAAAGGCATTTGTAAGAAGTAAGAGTTCTCAGCACATGTTACAACCACTGTTCTGATATAATCATTCTCTTCCATACGATGACGAGTATCGTCCATTTCCGAACTTTCCTGATCTGCATCTCGATTTGCTGCTGCTGCATTAACCATTGCTAACATTGCTGACGTCTTACCGCCCCTACACAAGAAGTATGTTGGTATTATTCTATTACGTATAAAGAACAACTGACATAAACTGGTCACATTCCATGAGTAACAGTTCCATTTTCGAGAATGAGACTTACCATGTAATGGAGACTATCACATTTAAATCTATTACCGTGTATTTAAGAAGTAGAAAATTACAAACTTAAATTTTCATGCAACTCTATCTATGGTAGTGGCACTTTCCTAACATCTCTGACAAAAGTACCTTCAACATAAATTTATTTAAAGTATAACCTTGGTCGACGTCCTCTACCATTCTTACTGCCACCTCTTCCACCTCGTTTTCCTCGATGCGAATGAGTTACTTCGGTGAAATCATTTACTCCACCAAGTGAACGTGTTCGCGGGGTTATTCCACGGCCATAAGGCTTTTTCACTCCACCACCACGCGAAGTTCGGCTGAAGGTGCAAGAGTTATCACTTCTTTCTCTTCTGAAAGTGTTTGAACATTATCTTTTCATGATCCTTTCACTATCTTCCTATCGTAAAAGAACACTGCATTTCATATTCATTTTAAACGTCGACCTGAAGTTAACGTGAAATTATTGGAAAGTTTTAACTCCCCAACCTGGAATTAAATCGCAGCTCATCGCTCGCATCGCCAGTATTACTGAAGTCAGGAAATGAACCGGGCGAAGCTCTAGAGGAAGACATCGGTCCGCTCAGTGCGGTAGATCCTGATGGCGACATTGACGGAACTTGCCCTACAATTTCAGCTAATATTAGTATTTAATAGTGGTATGGAAATTTTCTACCAACAAACTCAGTTGTTATACATTTTACTCGAAAATAATGTAATAAAGCAAGAAATCTTTAATGACTGCTTCATGACATTTATGGCACCAAACTATCAATAACAATAGGAAACAATCAGTCTGATAGCAATTTTGAATCATATACTACAGAAATAAATGTTAAAATTGTAAACTGAAACCTGTAGATTGATGGATGCTGAAAAAATCGCCGAAAGTATCCAATTGAGATAATGACATCAACGGGCTACTTCTATTAGGTGAATCCATGCAATATGAGTTGTCAAGTGGGATGCTACGTGATGCTTCATCATGAGTGGAAATGGAGGTTGGTGATGCCGTAACGGAACCATTCCCAGCTGATATCATCATCGCATCCGCAACCAACGGTGAATTACGGCATGTTGGACAAACATATTCCGTTTCCACCGTATTTGCATTTAATGAATCGGAATCACAATCCGAGTGAATAAACCTGTAAGATTAATCCTTTCCCTAACAACATTTGTAGCTGATGAAGAAAATCAACTGATAGAGCTGATGGTAATAATCATCGAATTATCTGCAAATAATATTTCTCTAAACCAATGGATTTAAATGCGGCAAAACCATCTGTTAATTCTTTCCGACAGATTTCGAAGTTACATTCGAAGAGAAAAAGTAGATATACTCACTTTCGGCATGAACTGCAAGATCGCACATTACTAGTTGATATAATTGGATGAGTGCAAAGTGTGCAAGTAAAACCTGACGAGTTCATGTGAATAATGCATACCAGTTAGCACCCACCATTAAATAAACAGTAACCCTAAAAATAAGTTCGTTATTTTAGTCCCAGTAGGATATATATACATAATAGCAAGCACAAACTGAAATAGTCAGTTGAACAAGATAAATATTACGTGCAGGAAGTGCCGTTCAAATATCGGCATTACTATCTTAAACGATATGATACTTGTTTCCCTCCAACATCGCAATATGTTGCCAAAAATAAATGTTAACAGTTTCAACAGTAACTTGCAACTGACAGTTTCATCTGTCAAATATTCATAATAAAAAGGAAAAATTCCCAAAAAATACGAATAATCGATATCAACTACTTCGTCTGCAGAACAATGGATGCAAACAAAATTTCTCTCTAGGAGAAATTTCTGCCAAAATTAATACAGATTTTATTCGAAAAATTCATGCGAAATCAGTACTTAAAAAAAAGATGCACATTTACTAGTCTGCGCAGCTTGTCACTTTAAAAATATCTGAACGTAAAAGGTACAAATCGACAAGATTCATATGGGAAAAGTTTAATCACAGATTTTCAATAGTAGAGATGCTTTTCAATTATGGTGGTGGAAGAGCATCTCGACAGACCGTCAGAGAAGCGTAAATGCGAAAGCACATGTGTGAGTAAGCAATGCTCAGTTATAATCAATCAAAATGAAATCACTTCCAAAGCTTCTTCAATGACATGTTCTTATCCGAATCTTTTTGCATTACCTAAAAAAGTACTATGGAACATCTGGGGTCAGAAATTCAATCCATTAAGAAATGAAACAAAAAGCATACTAATCGAATTAACCATAAGTTTTACTTTGCCAACGGCCATTTCGAAATCTTCTTGAGTTACATGGATACGACGTTCCCGCAATGCAAACATGCCAGCTTCGGTACAAACCGCTTTAACCTCAAAAGTAAAGTAATCACTGCAGGATAAGTACAATCTCGGAAACAATTCACCGAAAAATAACTTTATTTGAATTTAATCTCACCTAACAAAACTAAGTAACTTACTTCAGCACCACTTGCACCCGGTATAGCTTCCGCTATTTTCTTCATGTTTATACCTCGCATAAGATTCATTTTGCGTGAATGGATTTTTAGTATATCTGCACGTGCTTTCTCATCGGGTGCAGGAAATTCTATTTTCCTGTCGATCCTTCCTAAAAAAATCGAAATTTATATCAAAAGCATATTGGGAAAATAACGAACTCAGAAAATAAATGAAGAAGCAGATGGTCACCACAAGCGACTTCAAATAATGTGAAGATTAGCAGAAACGCACACAGATGCATGTCATATGTTGCAAATGAAACATGTTTCAAATACATAAATAAAGAAAAAGAAACTACTAAATAAGGGAACCTGGTCTCAGAAGTGCTGGATCAAGAATATCAATACGATTTGTGGCCATAATTACTTTAATATTTTTGGTAGCTTCAAAACCGTCAAGTTGATTCAGTAGCTCTAACATCGTACGTTGCACCTCCGAGTCACCTGTTGAAAACATCTGCTCATATGCAAAAGCATCGATATGAAATGTCCACTGAGACCAATCAAGCTATCGGTCTAAAACAAAAAAAAAAAACTAACAGAAACTTACCACCGCTGCTACCTTCAACACGTGATGAACCAATGGAGTCTATTTCATCCATAAAAATTATTGACGGTGCATGCTCACGAGCCATTACGAATAATTCACGAACCATACGAGCACCCTCTCCAATAAACTTCTGCACCAATTCGGAGCCTGATACTCGAATAAATGTACATTCCGTATGATGAGCCACGGCGCGGGCAAGTAATGTTTTACCCGTTCCAGGCGGACCATACAACAGGACTCCCTGCAAACATCCATTCATTACATTCACTTTTAGTCATTCTATATGCTTCAAAGCGATTAACAGCTGAACTTGCACACGAACTGACAGCTTACATGAATAGATACAAAGATGTATATTTGAGGAACAATAAATAAGAAAACAAAGAAAAAACAAGAAAACAAAATGACAGAAATAACTGCAAGATTTCTTTTTTTTTGAAATAACTCAACTGCTCACTTAGTGCAGTGTACAAACCTTAGGCTGCGCAATTCCCAATGCATCGAAAAGTTCTGGGTGTTTCACAGGTAACTCAATCACTTCTTTTATCTCCTTTATTTGTTTATCCAAACCACCAATCATTTCGTAAGTCGAATCGGGAACCTTCTCTACCATCATAAGTGACACCAGTGGGTCAATCTGTCGGATAAGATCGAAATAAGATGAAATTACACTAACACTGGTTTCAGAGTGATTTGACGATTCCCATAAAAAGACAATAGCAAAATAGTAAATTAAACAACCACTGCAGTTTGGTTTCCAGTAGTAAGCCATTACAGTTCAGTTCTCAGTAGCTAACAGTATATGAACTGTTGATTTTAAAGCTTACACAGAAAATAAATAAAGATGATACGCAAAGTTAAGCTAAAACCAAGATTGGTTGTTAGCAAAACTATAAATGTCTGATTATTTCGAAGAAACAAACATTTCCATAAGATGTACTACCTTCAAAATAACCTAAACTCAGATCTCGAAAAGCTGTAACTGACATACAGTAAATTATAGTTATGTAGATTAAACAGTAACATCCCGATAGTTATCTTTTTCCATTCGAAACACCGAAAATCTGCAACCTCTACATACTTTTGGGCTAGAAGAAAGCATGCATTTACATTAACAAACATGTAGATGCAAGCATAATGCCCATTCCCGCAATCCAATACCATTTAAAAATTCTGTAAAAAAAAACCTTATTGGGGAGTACTTTATGCAGTGCATAGCTATCGGCTCTGAGGGCAACACGACATCCCGACGTGATACTATTTATGTCAATACCTTTATCCAAATCAACGACGTATTTTCCTTCCGGATGAACCTAAAATAAAATTTTGTTTAAGGAAAAAAAACAAACAAATATTCTTGTCAATTTGAAGTTTGGAAATTTTCCTGTAACAAAACAAGACGTAGGAAAAAAAAGCTCTAAAACAAGAGGGAATATTCAAACTAAACAAACCTTGACAAGTACTTTCTTTTTATCCATTGCTTTCGATACTTCACCAACATAGGATCCTTGCTCATGTAGCTGCTGCAGTTCTTCCTTTAGCATGCGAACCTGTAAGGATTCATATTTAAAACTTCCTTTGTCTAAGGTTATAACTTATGAAATATTGGTGACTGAATACTCATCCATTTTTTACTATTTCTGATATTAACGAAAAGTCGTAAATTGTGAATTATGTTCAAACTAAACATACCTTTGTATTAAGTTCATTTCGCTGAGCATGAAGTCGACGTAAATTTTGTGTTTTCTCTGCAACTCGCTGCTAAAACCATAAATTTGGAAAACCTTTATGCATCCTTCAAAATAAAACCGACAGAATATTCACTCATATTCTTTGAAATATTCCATCTGTATTAATCGAATTTACTCTTCACTTTTAAGTTCTTTCAAATGTTCATTTGAAAAAACATAGCAATCACCTGCATATCCTCGATTTTTGTTTTGTAATAACGTTTCAAGCTTTGTTCCTCGCTACTTTTACTTACTACACCCGCAGAAACCAATCCAGCCATCGGTGGTGCCATATATGTCCCGTATATTTTACAACTACAGTTAGCTGAAACTGACAGGAAAATTACTTAAATATGCCGCAAAACATGAAAGTGGATTCATCATTTTCAAAAGACAATAATACATGCTGTAACCGTTCCGCAATCAGAGAGCTTAGTGATAAGAGGGAAAAGATAACTCTCGTCCTTATTATAAACAACATCCGAGACTTTCCGGAACCCAATTCTAATCCAACCAGTTGGAAGAGGATTGGTATAAACTACTTGTCGAATAATAAAGTAAGCAAAGTTCGGATACGATGATCAGATATGCGATGGTCATGGAATGGTAATGGAGACAAAATGACGCTGTGTGTGTGTTTATGTCTGCGTGTATGTGGGTGTGTGTGTGTGTACCTTTTTGTGTGCGTATGTGTGTGTATGCTTGTGTATGTGTATGTGTGTGTACGTTTGTGTCTGTGCGTGTGTGTGTGTATGTGAGTATTTGATAGTGTTATATGTCGAGGATAAGATAACGCATTTGTTGGTTTTGATGAAATTACTGATTTTGAGTGAATTTTCGAAATTTCAGAGATAGCAGTTATCTTAGGCACTTCATTACTTCTAGTTCGTATTGCATCGGACAAGTTCTGCGGAACGTCCTATGGATTTCGGGTACTAAATATTGGTAATGCCGGCTGCGTCAACAGGTAAACCGGGTAGTTTAAAGGATCCCACTATTGCTTCGTTATTCTCTGTGAAGGATCCGGAACAGCGTTTCGAAGATCTTCGTGAAATCGGTCATGGCTCATTTGGAGCTGTTTTCTTTGTATGTTCCTTTTTGCTATTCCTTTCTATTTATTTGATAACTTATTTGAATCTGTGAGGTAACGTCCAATAATATTATGATATTTTAACTTCCTTTATATGCCAAGGCATGTTGTCCATAAGAATGCAAAAATCATTGATTTGCGTTTGCATTGGGATATTCTTGGTAGACTTTTCCTTCACTATTATATTGGAATAATTAGCTCCATAAAGAAATTTTCTTTGGAGTATTTCTTCCTTTTTGTTTGTTTCCCGTAAAAAAAGAAAAAAAAGATTCTACAATAAAAATTTTCGTAAAAGAATTTCTTCATTTTTATGACTTCATTTCTTATGCAAAGTTAATTTCTTCCACATAGAATTTCTACGCAAAATCCAATTGTGTTTTCCAGTAAAGCAGTTTTTTTTTTCTCGGCAAAATTTTCCATGAAAACTCTAAGGATTTGAAGAGAATGATCTGATTATTCAACATTCAATTTTCTTATTTTTTGCCATTTCATCACTTCATGGTTCTTATATCTGAATTTATATCAAAATTACAGAATTTTTTTTTTTCGGTTTTCTCTATAGGGTAGCTTTTTCCGTGAAGTTTCCACTAATAACCTAAATTCAGTTCATTTTAGGCACAGGATTTGGAAACGAATACAACAGTTGCAATTAAGAAAATGGCTTTTTCCGGCAAACAGTCGGCTGAAAAGTGGTCTGATATCATCAAGGAAGTGTCCTTTCTAAAAAATATCAAACATGAAAATATTGTTGAATATCGGGCATGCTATCTAAAAGAACATACTTGTTGGGTAACTTCTATGAATTTCGAGAATCCTTATATTTTTAATTAAGTTGTGCGTAAGCTGAAATGCCCAATCGCCTAAAATATCGAGTAGGATACAGAACTTATTCCTTTTTGATTTATGATTCTTTAAAACTGGTATTATTGCCGTCGTCATACCCCTTCATTTTTAACAGATTTGAGCAGTAATTTTTCAGTGGCAATTTTTGCGCCTCCATCAGTCAATTTAGGATGAAAATTGTTGCAGCTGGTGATGGAATATTGCATTGGTTCCGCGGCAGATATAGTTGAAGTACATCGTACCCCAATACGGGAATGTGAAATTGCTGCTATTATGGAGCAGACACTTTTTGGGCTTTCTTATTTGCACAAATTAGGGCGTATACATCGAGATGTCAAAGCTGGAAATATTCTTCTAACTGATAATGGCATCGTTAAACTTGGTGGGCTGTTTATTCTGTGAACTTCTGTTTATTATCCTTAGTGTAAGATTTACGGCAAATTTGAAAGTGATGGATCTTAAGAATATATTTTTTTAGTCAAATTTTTGTCAGCATTCACTTAGATGTGCTAGCAGTGATGTTTACGTTTGGCGGAGATAAAAAATAATATTGATATTTAAGATAATTTGATTACAGCTGATTTCGGGAGTGCTTCCACTTTATGTCCTGCTCAGAGTTTTGTCGGTACGCCATATTGGATGGCTCCTGAAGTTATTCTGGCAATGGATGAAGGACATTATGACCAAAGTGCAGATATTTGGTCTCTTGGAATAACTTGTATTGAATTAGGTTAGCTTCTTTATTTCGATATAATTCTCATTATTTTTTACCTTAATAGTTGACAATAATGGAGTTAGCTTCATATGTGATGAGCATAAAATTTTCAGTTTTGTAAAAAAAACTTTCCAATAAAACTAGCTGATGGCAGTTGTCATTGTAGTAATTTTTTTTAGCTGAACGACGCCCACCTCTTTTCAACATGAATGCAATGTCTGCGCTATATCATATTGCTCAGAATGATCCCCCAACGCTTTCACGTGGTGAGAATTCATTGTGGTCTGCGGACTTTCACTCATTCGTCGATCTCTGCTTACGTAAAGATCCACGAGAGCGAATGAAAACGGGTCCTTGTCAGCAAGTAAGTTTCCTTGTTTCCTTGTGTCATCTTTTTAAGTGCAATGAATATGGACATAAATTAGTGTATTTGCTTCACCGAAGGAGGGAAGAAAAAGTATGAGTTCTACTTTCTGTACTTCCCTGAAATGTTTGGCGGAATTTTCTATCTACAACTTCTTGTAGCATCCATTTATAATGAATGGGCGTTTGGATGGTGTAATTTTGGAGTTGATAACACGAACAAAGGCGCTAGTCAGCGATTTGGACAACTTTCAATATAGGAAAATGAGAAAATTAGTTTATCTTGACGAGCAGCAAAGTGCTGTGACCGACGATACAATAACAACGGACCGGCATGATGTGGTATATCTTTGCTTCACTTTTCCATCATCACTGCGATTTATTTTAATATCTTTAGTATTCATTTTACAGCTTACTATTTTTTGATATGCTTTAGTATGTTTTTCATTGCCACTGTGTTAGCTTTGAAGTTTCTGGTTTTCTTTTCGGTCACATCATTATGTCCGCTTTTGTTTAGATGCCTTTAAGATGATTTATCTCTCGTGATCTGTTCGAGATGGAAATTATGCATGGTAAAAGGGCGATATAAAAGATAGGGAATCACGATAATTTATATGAGGCGAAATTGATATGGATTAGAAAAGCATGATAAGATGTTTAATTGGCTGCTGGATTTAGCTAATTTTCTGTATTTTTGTTTTGGATAGAAGAAAACTAGATCCTTAAATTTAATTCAGAAAATGCTTATTTTAATCACGTTGTGAATTTTTTTGGACAGGCTTTGATATTATGATGGTTTTGCAGGACGAAGAGTTGTCAGGAATGGGAGGCTCGGCAAGTTCGCGGTCAAATTCGATTTCTTCATTCCAGTCATATCATTCAAGTGCTCCTATTTCTGACAGTCATCATGGAGACAGTGGCAAAGTCATTACTCCACGTCCTCTTATTCCTCTTCGGGTTCTTTCGTCAGCTGGCTCTGATATTAACAGCACCAACGAAAATTTGGATAACATTGATAAGGGAATTTTTTCCTTATGTGAAATCATTTTTTATAAGTTGGAAACCAACATGTTAACGGTTTGATTTTTAAGATTATTAGCGAACAGGATACATATAAGAAGACCAGAATTACACCATTACTTCCGGTTTTTACGATCATTTTTTAGTTACCTAAACCAAAAAGTCACTTGCTCCCAGCATTTTTACATTTTGACTGAATATTTTTTAAATTTCAGAATCGGACGGTAATTCATGTTGATGATGGAGGAAGCCACTGCATGCATTCAATGCATGAATCACTTTTTATTGAAGAAACTTCTTCAGGAACACCAACTTCGACCTTAGTATCGGACGAAACTACGAGGCCGATTAATGTATGCTTTCAGATTTTGTTTATTTGCAGGTTTTCAATTTGAGTCATTTTTTTTCTCAGGAAGTTTTCGCACTTTTCAGAATTGCAGTTGTATCTGTTTCAGCTTTTTTTACAAATGTAATACTTATATACAATTTTTTTAGGAGGAAATGGCAACTCTTCGGCGGTCCAAATTTTCAACGTTGCGAACAACGAAATTGATTTCAAAGGAGCTGGAGGAATATAATAGGGAAAATAATATATACGAACAGATGAGTGGTTATAAGCGTCTACGTCAGCAGCATCAGAAGGAGTTGAAGCAGGTCAGCCTTGCTTTTAGGCGGACCAATGGTAAGAAAACGCGAGGATTTGGATGGTCTTTCGTAAAAGTTTCTTTGTAAATGCGTAGTTGCGTATGTTCATAAATCTTGGTGTATCTTCCGTTCGAACAGAGGAATCTAATTTTTTTTCTGCAATTTAAAGCTGTTTTATTTTAGCTCGAAGAGAGATGTGCAATGGAAATGGAGTCATTCAAACAAAAAGCTGATAAAGAATATGAAAATCTTTTAAATGCTTTTAGCAAAGAGCTTCAGCGTCTGCGAAGCAGCCAAAGTGCTGAAAAAGACAAAAAGGTAAGACTTTTCATTTCAGCTGTTAATGTCGTTTTCAAGTACATTGCAGTCTGTTGCAAGGATTGATAATAGAATCCTCTTCCTTCCTTATTTTAAATAAAAAATAAATTTCGTATTTGTTAGTACTGACTCCTTGGTATGCATATCAGAATTTTAGAGTTCCAAAAATTTGCGATTGGAATCATTTACTTTGTGAATAATGTCAAGTTTAATTCATTTCAGCATGCCTTGCTCCATTTTGAACTTTGTTTTTTTTTTTAATTCAGATTTTTTCCTTGTAGCTCCGTGAGTATGATGAAACAGAGCGTAGGTTACGACGTCAGTTAAATTCGCGACACGAAAATGAGCTAAAAGCATTCTCTAATGCTCAAAAGAAGGAATATAAGCACAATAAAGAAAGAGCGAAAGTGGTAAATTTTTTTATCTCTATTATTGCGGAAAGTTGGTTAACGATATCCGCAATGTATTTTGATGATTTAGGCTGTGAACTTTGCCATAGCTTTACTTTTACGAAATCAAATCATTAAAAAAATCTTAGTTTTCAAAAAACCAGATCTTTATTTTTAAGGAATTTTTCAAAGGAATTATTTTTAAGGAATTAAAAGAACGCTATAGCATGCGCTCTGCATATGAAAGTGCATTGAAGGAGACCAAAGCTGTATTGAATGCACGGCGTACTGATGCGGAAGCGATATTTTCTCGTGAGCAGAAAATAGCGATGGAAAATGAAATTCGGAGGTTAAAGGGCGTTCGGATGATTGAAATGCACACTTTAACTGAAAAATTGATTGTAGATGTATGTTTTGTGTATTTTGATATAAATTCAAGGTATTATGAGTGTAAGTTCCTGTTTGATGACCTCAGAGAATAAGAGGTAAGGAATGATACTGGTAGTGAAAATACTAGGATTAATTGTTTCTTATTTCTTTGTTTTATATTTATTCAGTTGTACAGACACTAGCATTATAAGCTTTCTGAAGAGCTTATATAAACCATTACATTTCTGGGATACAATTATATAATTATGAAAAAGCGTTTTTCCCTGAATGATTGAAACTGAATATACTGATAGTATATGGAACATAATTCGTGGAGTTACTTTTTTTTTCCCTCAATGAATTCAGTCCATTCTTGACAGCCTAATCTGGCGATATTAGTTCTAAATGATGTTCGAAAAATGGAGACTGAAAAATTGCGTTAATAAGCAATGCTTTCTGATTTCTAAAATGTCTGCTCCATCACAACCATTGATTAACATCAGATTTTTTTGGATAAGATGGTATGGCGCATGACTGATTTATATATAACGTGGGACCTATTTCAGGAATTGAAATTCAAAGGAAAACAACTAGAAACAAGCCATGCTTTGTTAAGAAAACACCATGAGCAAACAAAGCAACTTGAATTATCACTTTTAATCGAGAGCCAACGCATGAAACGACGACATCTAGAGAAACAACATGAAGCTGAAACTTCAAATCAGTTACAGTATAATCAGAGAGTTACAGATGAAACAGTGAAAAGACATGCTTTGCAGTCAAAACAACAGCCGAAAGAATTAAAGGTTTTGTTGTAATCTGATTTCTTCAAAGAAGCTCATAAGGTAGTTTCTTGGCATATATACATTCGTTTTAGTGCTAGTGCTAGTCGAACGTTATAGATCCCTTTGTTTTTTCTAGGACAGGAAATAAAGCAAATGGTGCATTTCATATCCTTCAATACATATTTTTAACTTTTCAATTTATATATATATATATATATATATATATATTTTCTAGTCATAAAGTTGTATTATTGCCGATGATTTGTGTCTTATCTTTTAACCTGTTTCTTGTAGGCAAAAGAACTACAAATAAGAAAGCAATATCGACAGGCAGTAAAAACACAGTTGAGGCAGAGCAAACTACTGCAAGCTCAAGTACGTTTTTCGAATTTTGTTTTTGAAGATCTTTCGAAACTTTGAGTTAAAAGTTTCTTTTTTCAGCTCTTAAAAAGTGGAAACTTCTCTTTTTTGGCTTCCAGTTTTGATTTCGAGGAGATTTTCAGGTCTTGAGCTGTACGCCAAAGGAAGAACATAGAGAAATGATATTAAAATTGAAGGAAGAACAAAAGAGAAAATTAGCAACATTGGCTGGACAGTATGAAAGCACTATCGAAAGTTTGCTACGGGATTTGACCGTCAAATTAGAGTCATGGCAGGTAATCTTCAATGTTTTTTTTTTTGCTAAGCAGTGTATAGTAGTGATCCTTTTGTTTATTCCCGTTATTTCCTTTTAGTTTTTTCCAATCTTATTTAGTATTTATGTTTCATTATAGATCGTTCTCGATTGCCTTCAGCGTATTTTTTAGGCTCATAGTAATCTTGCAATTTAAGGTGCTTTATGCAAAGTTTTTTTTATTTCTTTCTAAAAATAATTTGGTATCTTTTTATGTCGGAATATTACTTGTTGTATAGCGTTTTGCTTAAAATTTCCCCATGCACTGATTAGTATATTTACCGGCCCTCTTGTGATTTCATTATTGTTTTGTACTGGAGATATCTTATTTTGTTTAGGAAGACGAATTGAAAGCTTTGAAAGAGAAACTTGAAAAAGAGATGGATATGCTCAAAGACTTCCAAAATCGACAGAAAAGTTGTCTCGAAGAGAATTGTAAAAGGGAAGAACAGAAATTGGCAGAGCGTACTTCAATAAGAAAAGCAGTGATTGAGAAAAAAGTACGCAGTATTTATTTTTTAAACAATGTAAAATATCATTCAAGCACACTTTTGTGTTGATGATTTAAGTGGTCAGGAGTACATTTTACTGTTCATATTTATTATGATGTCTATATGACGTTTTGAATCAAAGAACTGGTTTTATCTTTCGTTGTTCCAAAAGTTTGTGAACATTTTTAACTTTTGAACTGTTCTCTTGTGTTCTATGAGCAATAGTATTTCTGGAAATATTAGCAATAAATTCGAACATTCAGGTAGCTTATATATGATCAATGTAAAAGCAGGAAGAGAAATGGACGTAAATCAGGAGAAGTAAATAGGTTCTGACGAATCTTCCAAGCTTCCTGTACGTTATCATTCGTTTTAGATGGAAGAAGAAAAAGTGTCTTTGGAGACTGAACGCCAGAAGACACTAAAAGCGATAGAGGAGAAGCATCGTATTGAAAAAGCAGCATTTTTTGATGATGAACAGAAGTCATTGAATGAACACACGCAGCAGATATCCTCCTCTGCTTCTCAATTTAGTTCACAAGACACGTTATGCTCAATTTCATCAAATCTTCATTCTTTAGCTACAAATTCTTAGGGTCTTATTTGTATGGAGCTGTTTTAATAAGGCTTTCATAGCGGCCATATGTTTAAGAGTTAGGCTTTTTACTTCTGTTTTAAAATATTATACTGTCAAAATATCACAAATATTACAAAGACTGGGGTCTTTGGTACATTACCGTAGATATTTAGAGACTTTAGACAATAATTTTTGATTCATACATATTGGAAGTAGATGAAAGTAAATACGAAATAGCGTTTCTTTCAGTTGTATGTATATTGACATGAATGTTTTACAGACTATATCATTTTTGAACATTCTTAGAATCCCAAATAAGTTTTTCGTTACTGCATGTTGTTTATCGTTTCCCTTAGTTTGTGCCTTTTAAAGTTTTTTTGCTTAATTCTTTCTTGAATCAATTGTGTTGAAGCGAACTCATCGAACTATTTCCTAGCAGTTTTGATTTGGATGTCTGATTCCTAAATTACCATTACTTTTCATCTCACCACACTTCGTTAGAACTTTTAGTTGCTGATCCAGATTTCGTTTTCTTGACATTAAATTGAATTTACATTGAGTTTGATGTCAATATAAATTTATGGAAAGATTCAATTTTTTGGAATTCCTAAGATCTCATATTATTACCTACCTCCTATCGCTAGCAGCTCTATCAAGTGGTTTAAGGATGGTGTCGGTTCATGGCTAATTTGTCAATTTTTTCGGATTTCGTGAAAGTATTGTCAGATATGGATGAAATCGCTTAATTTTCATTACTGTTTGCTTAACAGTCATATCCGAAAGTTTTGTTACTGGAATAAATGTGCCATCTTGGCTTTAGCCTTACTTCCTAATCTTCTTTGTGTTCCTGAATTGTTCATTCTTCGATCAATTGATTAATCCTGCGATTCCGGACGAGGATTGCAACCAACAGCAGATAATTGATATCACTGATGAAATATCTCTTTAAATCGTAACTAATACGTCAATTCTGGCGCTGTAGATACTTGCTTTGTACTTCTTATTTCGGTGTATCTTTGATTGAACTGGCATATTTCTCATCCATTCTATCCGTATCCAAGATACTTTCATGTTTGCAGACGTATATAGAAGTCGACATTTAATTTTCGGCTCCTAGATTGTTTCATGCAAGTGCTGTAAATTTACTATAATATTTAAAGTTAATTTAATTTCAGTTTTTTTTATGTTAATCTATCGCTTGTATGCTTTTTTTTTTTCCGATGAAATGTGTATGATCATATGATAGGAACCGGTGGTACACTTTTAGAGTGCCTTATATGTTTATTAGTGCCACAGAAGCATTATTAGCATAACTGTTATTATTATTAAGGTTAAATACGTTAGCTATATGGCTTCACCGAATATTTTCAATATGAAGATTTTTATACCTCATCTTTCGGATTTTATCTTCAGATGAAGAAATGAAGGTAAAAATGAAATAGAAAAAAGTAAACGAAAAATAATGAACGGATTACAAAAGTAGCTGAAAAAAAATTTTTTCGTTATGATCAGTTTGCTTGGTTGTGCTAAATATATTCAAATAAATTATTCTATCAGTTTTTGCGGATTTTTTATTTTTCTCCCTACTTTTTTTTTTAATTCATGCATTAGCTTAAATCTCGTTTGTAATTAACAAGTTTCCGTTTTTCTCTTATATGTTTCATTTGTATAGTATCTTTCCATCTTTTCCAAAGGATCAATATTTGGTGTAATTATAATATGTACACTTCAGTTCTCCTCACTTCTTTCCGTACTGCTATTTTTACTGGAATTTCAAATTTTTTTGAAATATATTAAATTTCAAGTTTCTTTTTTTCCTTTTGCTTATTGTTTTATTGGCAATTCTGTTTATACATGCTCACCATCATTCCATCGCGTTAATAAAATTTACATGTGAGTCTTCTTCCTTTGGCAGCATGGTTGGAAAGTTCATCCAGAATACAAGGAATCGAGTAAATTTAATCGTACATCTTTATTTATCATTGTATTTTTTTTTTTTTTTTGGGTTTTCCTTTGAGATACTTCTACACTGTAATCGGTCACCATGATACGATGATATGATGGTCATAATGTAATAGAAATATCTGGAAGTATTAAGAAAAAAGTTAATGTCGTTTTTGGTATGGTTGCTAATAAATGACTCATAATACGAATAATTCATTCATCTCTGAATGGGAACAAAAATGATACAGGGGAGAACTAATTATTGTTACTTTTAGTTTTAATAATTTCCCTTTCCCAATTTTGATTTTTTATATAAAAAACTTGTAGTTGTAAGTTTGAATTTAATAGGAAGAGGTAGAAAGGAAAGGTAGGGGGAGGGTTATTGTTGATTTTATAACTACACCTAATTAAATGATCGACAAATATTTTCCATACGATTTTATTGCTTTCTATCAAATGCAAATGCATCTGATTGCTGCAACTTTACAGAATTAATGTAGGAAGCATATGGCCGTGCCAATAACTCACCCTTTTACTTATTTGCAAACAAAAGATTAAAAACTAGGTTATTTTTAACCTAGACCTAGAAAGGTTATAAAAATATCTTAAAATCGGATTGCTGAAATTACTACTTCAATAGCGTTTTATCAATTTGCAATCGTAGATTTATTCGTTCATGCCAACATTTAATAACAGAATGCCTTTGGCTGAAGATATGATGTCTTGTCTTGTCATTGAGTGAAAGAGCAATATTTGAAGCGATGAAAACTAACATTCATTTTCCAGTAGTAATTTAGGTTAGAGTTGCGGAAGTAAAGATTTACTTCCATCGAAATCTTAAAAATTGATGCAATTTATCAAGTTGGTACAATGGTGTACAAATGCAAGGGCATTAAATGCAAAAGTTAGGGTTTGCTAAAGAAAGAATTGTGATATATTATGAATAAAAAGGTCAAAAGTTTGTTAAAGGAAAGACTTAATGGCGAGGAAGTTCATTCCAAACTTCGCATTGAAACTTGAATTAAAAATGAACAAGGAAACCTGGAATTGTATTTCCCATCAATATTCCAAAATCCAACTTGAGGAAGTACCATTCCTCTATTCCTATCAAATGATTCATTTTTCTGTTTTGAAAAGACACAAACAAACAGTTTGCTGAAAATTTGATATCAAAGAGAGTCGCTTATCAAATTTGAATATTTTCAAATAGTTGAGATAACTTTGGGCTGTTTATCACATGTTTAAACAAAAGTAATTCACGTTAATATGCTTTCAATCACTATTCGCATATCAGCGGCAAACAATTAATTATCTCAAATTGCCAGCAGTTTATCTTTTCATTATTTCTACTAAGATATTGGTATCAATCCATATCCAACTACTCCTGCTTTAATTAATACAAGAATTTGCAGTAATTTGCATTTTTCAATAAGTTTGCAGTCATTTGAACTGAGACAAATTTATAATAACTTGCATTTTACAGCAAACTTGCAGTGATATTCGAATAAGTTTTGCTCATACAAGTGCTTTCCAGTATGGCTAAGCAGTCTCATATAATTGGTTCCCATTGTGGCCAATCAGTCTCATTTAAATGGTTTCCAGTGTGGCCAAGCTATCTGTTCAAATATCCATATTTGACTTGACTTAATTGCACCTTCCAACAATTCCATCAAACAAAAATTTGTCAAAGATTTAAAATCAAAGAAGAAAAAAAAAAGGAAAAGCGGAAAAAAAGGGAAGAAAAGATGGTTGGCGGCATTTGTCGTCGTGCCTATCGTATCTTCTTTAATTATCGGTTGATGATTTCGAGAGAAAGAAGAGAAAAAGGAGAGAAAATAAAATGTTTGAAATTGTTTTGTTTCTATGTCTGAGAGAAAAGGTTTTAATGATAACATGATCGTAATAAGGTATGGTTCGGTTCTTTTTTCCGATATGAAGGAATTAATCGAGAGAGAGAGGGAGGAAGAAAGAGAGGAAAAGAGAGAGAGGGGGAGAGAGGGAAAGGGAAAGAGTATGATGTGTAGGTATCGATGATGATGATGATGATAATTTAGTAGTTTCAGTGTGGAAATCATAAAATTGTAACCAATCAATGAACAATAAAAAGAGGAAATAAGTGAGAGCATTGGTAGGGAAAGATGATTCATTGATTAGAAGTTGTTCAGTAAAACTAATTTGAACTCTAAATTGAACTAAATTTAAACTGTAATTTATTATTAATTGAACAGTCCTCAACATTCTCCCTTTTTCTTCCTCTTCTCTCTCTCCCTCTCTCTCTCTCTCGTTCCCCTCCTCTGATTTCTTTAAATGGAAATAGTCATTTATGATGGGTTGGTCGGTTATCCCATGTTAATTTAAAAACGATTAAATAAAGGATGAAATTTCTGTAGAAAAGGTTTATTCAACGAAACTTCTTCCTTTTTCTCTCCCTTCCATTTCTTTTTTCTTTGCATACCATATAAATGCTCTAATTCTATTCTCTTCTCTATCTTAATCATATTCTACTCTATTTTAGTATATTCATGATATGATAAATTTACATTAAACTCTACCATTTGCTTTCTCCTTATTCCTTCCTTTCCAGTTTCTCCTCTCCTTCTTTCCCAATTCTCTTCTTTTCTATCCTATCTTATATCATTCAATACAATCCGATCTTATTAATAGCAATTATTATTTTTCCTTTAAAATCCACCTAAAATAAACATTTTCAAAATCTGATACATTTCATAAAAATGAAATAATTAGCCAATTGTTTAATCAAATAATCCCCTCATTTATTTCATTCATTCATATCAAAATGTTAATTATCACTTCTTTATCATTTTTTCTTATCATAGCTTATGATAAGATTTTTGCATATATTTCGAGTAAATATAAATTTCAATGTTTTGTTTATTTGCTTAATAGAAATTAGAACGATATTATCGGAATATTACATATGCAACAATCACGTTGTTTTAATTTTACCATTAATTGATTTTTATTTTGTTGATTAATCAACTTTAACGAATGGATAGTTTAGCTAATTTGTAAAATTCGACAGTTCCATTCTCCGCTCTTTAATTAATAATTAAAACTAATCGTAATAAATGAAATGGAATAGTTTCAAAAGTTTTGATTATATTATATAGAAGAAGAAACTGTTTATTGTATGGTCGATTCATCCAACCTTTAGTTAATGCGCTTTTCTTTTTTTCAAATTTTATTTACCGATTTATTTTTCTTCCTTTTTCAAATATATTATTTTTGTTTACTGTATTACAGTATCCTGCCGAAACTCAGCATTTTCAGCAACAAGTATGATGAAAATGGTGAATGCAGACAGCAAAGAGAGCCATCTGTTGACAGTCATATATTGCAACTGTCATGGAACTGCTCTCTTTATGTCCCTGCGTTCTGAATTCCCTCAAACCCGATATTATTTACTGAATTAAAAAAAAAAATAATCAGAAGAAAAAATATGTGTTATTTAAATGCATCCACTTTATTGATTTAAATTTATACATTCAAAAATTTCATTTATTCCATTTATTCAATTTCCCATTTCACTCAACTAAATTAAAATACTTAAAAATTTTACTTGTTTAACTTAAAAAAAGATTTTTACCAACTTTATGCAGTTATCCTCTATATTTGCTCGCATTTGCATATTCACCTTAGTACATTTATAACTTTTTATTATACCAAAAATTTATCGTTATATCAATAGCAAGAAGATAAGCCGGTAATAGAAGAGCATATTTTAAGATGATAAGCTGATAATAGAAAAGCATATATCAAGAAGATAAACTGACAATAGAAGAACATATTTCAATTTGAAAATTCATGACAGTAATAATGACGATGAAAGTAATAAACATTGAAATATGCATTCAATTTCAATTAACTCATTTCAAATGAGTTAATTCTTAAATTTAACCAATATTAAATGTATGATAGTTTCTAAGCATGCGTGTATGATATATTTTTTTATTTTTATTGACATTCTTGGAATCATTAGCCCAATCTGGCATTAATTCTTCTTTGCGCTTTCTAAATCGAATTGGCTTTTCTCGTCCGGTTTTAGTTCCTGTAATAGATGAAACTGTAACATTTTAATAGAACTTGTTCGTTTTGTTTTTATAAATTTTAATTTAACTTATTAATATGAAGTTTACTTTTACTTCGAAAGTTTTTTTCCTTCTTAAAAAGATAAAGAAGAAGAAAGAATGGCAGGAAGAAAAAGCCGGAAATGAAATGTTCTTAGGAAAACGGAAGACTCTCCTCTTTTATTTCTGAGGAAATTTGTGAGTTTAAATGACAACCATTCATTTTTTTTTTTTAATTCTAGATGATAGGAATTACAATCAGATATCATTTGATGACATCAAGAGTATGTTCAATTATAGTTTGTTTAACCATAGCCACAATCATTTTGCACTTTTTTCTTCCACAATTTTTATGCATTTAGCATGAGTACAAAAAAGATTTGAAAGTAACAATTGTTGAAGGATGACAGTTGTAAAACGATGTGTGACATTCGGTGACACATTTAATATTTTCAGCAAGTTTCATTTCGTTTGTTAAATTCACTGGGGAAAGTTTTTTTTCCTTTCCCTTTATTCTCTTATTTCAAAAGATTGAGTAAATAAAAATTTCATCATCAATGAAATATTTTTCCAATTGTGATAGACTTGAATAATTAAAGTTTCAAATTATATCATTTTCACTGATCGGAACGACAATTATAATTGGATTTAGTTTTTTAATTGAAATGGATGAAAAGGCTAGCAAAATGGTGTAATTTGATAATGATAATTTGAATGATATGATAAAACATAGCCCAATTAACAATGAAAAATATATTAAAAGGTAACAATTCTATTACTATTAATACACAATCAGAGAAACATTGCAAAGCTATTATGATAATAATAAATAGTAACGGTTTTTTTTGATGTCGAAGAAAGCACAAAATACCAACTATTTAATTATTTATTTATATTCATATGACACTAATTGACTAATTATTTGCTTAAACTCATCTATTTGAGTCCAGAAATAAAATTTCCATAAAATTGCCTAAAAGTTGGAAAATTTGAAAATTTTTGAGTGAAATTTAAAAACTTTTTAGTCAAAATATTGCAATACCATTATTTGGCTTTTTTTTTTTGTTTCAATTCGGTCAAAAAGAAAAAAAAGTGCCACTTACAGTGCGGCAGCATGTTAGCCTTTCTGAAGTTGAAAATTGGCTATAGAAAAATCCCATAAAATTCGATCGGGAAGTGACTTTGAAATTTGGTTGTTAATAGGATGGATGAAAGGTTACCTACTAATGATCGGTTTAAATACCATTGAAATTGTGTAGATTGACAAAAAGTCCTCCTCTAGGGATAGATTGTCTATCTGATAGCATCAACTATTCAACTAAATACATTTGAAAAAAATTGATTCGATTAAAATTGTTCGGTTGCTTAAACAAATTCAATAAGTTTTATAAAATGGTAAATTTAATTCGATTTCTCATTTGATCCATTTTAAGGATTTTACAAGATTTTTTAACTTTTCAGTTTTTATTTATTAATTTTAAAAAAGAACTTTATTTGGCATTTTCGCATGTATCCTTATTGTATCAACCAATCTTTGCAGAAGAAATTTAGAAGATGGCAGCTACTACATTAGTAGCAACTGGTAATCGGGAATCAAGAGTGCAAATTCGGGAAAAAGAATTCCTCGTCAATTTGTCAATTTGACTATTTGCTGAAAAAGGATGAAATAGATTAAAGTAATTTAAAGTTAATGAAAAATAGAACAAACATTTATCAGTGACAAAAGAATAAAAAATGGATCTTCATTGAAATCTGAAATTTGAATCAAATTCAATGGATCTGATCAATTGAAGTTATTTATATTAACATGTAAAATTATAAAGGAGCAACAACTAACAGTTTATATAATTGTTTATCAATGCAAAGTTTCATCATCATAACAGACAATGATATGAGTTATTAATTAATGTCCTCCAGTGTTTTACATTGTAAATTAAAATGCCATCTCCCACTGTCTTTTAACGCTTTCATAAAATTTTCATTTCAAATCTCACAAATTCTTTGACGGAATTAAATTAAATTTCAGAACAAAATTTCGCGTCATATTTGTTCAACTTAAAAAGAAATTCATTTAAATTACCTGTAATAATCGAATGAATGTTTTGTAGCAGTGCGAATAAAGAAATCGCTAACACTTTCAGAACTTTCATTCTACTTCGTATCTGCAAAAATTCTCATATGAAAATTTAAGTTTTTAGAATTCCTCGGATAGCCAACATTGATTTATCAGCAACTTACAGTAAATATCTTTATTGATTTCGTATTACTGAAAGAAAAAATGCAAATTTTTTGAAATGCAAAGAGCGACATTGTTTGACAGCTATTCTATGCACCAAAATAAGCGTACAATTGCTATGACGACAAGATTACATTATGCTGAAATATAACAAAATGGGTGGGTGGTTAGATAGGTAAAAAGGTAAAGGAGGAGGAAATAGGAGAAAGGAAGTGTTGCAGCAATATTCTATTTTTATCTTTAACTATGATATGCAAATGCGTGAAGTATTTATCACAATTACTAACATTTTGCATTTTGCTTTTCCTATCATCTAGAGTCGTTCAAACAAAATAATAAAAATAATTAATAATAA